CCACTGGGGTTCAAGGAGACAGAAGCAGACATAGAAAAAGAAACAAAATAACTCCCTTATTTCAAGAAGAATGAACAGGAACAGCGACGCGGCGGCGAATGCGTGGAGCTCTAACAGCTGTGTCTAACCCTGTGTCGATGTGTGTATAGAAAGTCACATGACAGATGCAGGAGCCGTTTGAAACTGACTGCCGCACTGAACTGGGTCTATGTTGGAATAATAATGTATAAGATACTTAATGTTTGTTCTTATGATGTATAATGTGTGACATATTACAGTTCCAGAGAGGTGTTGCACTAGCAGTATAGGTCAACTCTCAGGAAGTATTGCTCAAGCTTAACGAAACCAGGAGGTTCTTGGACCATTTGACCGCAAGATATTTAAAAGCAAATTGACCTGTTCACTGAGGCTGCAAATTGAATTGTATTTCTTGTTTCCTATTCCTTTAGTGCAACCTCAGCTTGTTTAACTAGGGACCCCCCCTCTGACTTTAATAAACAGCGAGGAGAAAGCTGAAGACCGGCAGAGTGGGTTAGAGATTTGTAAACTCCGCATTCTCTTCCTATTCTCCTCGCAGGTAAAACTAAATTAATTGTCTCTGTGCCTTCTTTCTTTCCCTGGATGTATGTATGATGTTTTAGGTGCTTTAAGTGGCCCTTTTTTAGTTTATTATCAAATGAATAATGAAAGATGGAGCAGCCTGAAGGAAGCGGGATCGTTTTAATCTAACATTTCTTTAATTTCCTCGTTTCATTCTGTGCCTCTCAGTTATCACTCAGGCTGCTGTTCTTACTGTTGTCATTTTAAATAAATTAATCCTAATCCACAAACATCCTTATTCACTTGTTCACCAACATTTTCCTGTCATACGTTTACATTTACTAATTGCTGATTGCATCTACAGTAGAAACCAAGGAAAGTGGGGAAATTTTGAACGGCTACTATGGTAAAAATACCAAACATATTTTCAATTTAAACAATCATATGAAATAATATATAATAGCAAACAATGGTTTAAAGTAGGGATGCACGATATTGGGATTTTGGCCGATATCCGATAT